GTTCAGTACGATGATTTTTACTGTTGATTTCATCTCATGTAAGGACTATGGGAAAAAAGACAAGGTAGATGGATACATGGATAAACGTTGAACCTGGAATGGGGCTGGGAGAGGGAATGGGGTGCACTGAAACCTAGGCGTGGTTATTATAAGACGACATAGGAATTAGACTTTCAAACAGTGCAGCAGTCTTTCTTCAGAAGCCTGTTTTCACATGGAGAACAGTAGGGATCAGTTAGCTTAAATTTTTAATTTTACTCTGCCTGACTTCTTCCTTCATACTGGAAATAATCATTAGGCCCAAGAAGTCATTAAAGTGTTTAATAAGGTTATTAAATTGACTAACTGCTCCTGCAAAAGCAATTTTCATAGGAAATCCATATGATTCTAGGTATGGAACTTGGGGCTGTCCTTTGTGGCTGACAGGCTGTCAACATTCCCTTGAAGGATGGTGGGCAGGATCATGAGGGATGCGTCTAATTAAGAGATTATAGGTGAACCTTGGCTTCCTGGGTGTGCTGTTCATAGCTGGAAGTATCCTGAAACTTCACTAATTCCTACTAATTGTGGAGTGGGGGAGGGGAGGCCCATCTGAATTATGGAATATTTTTAAATAAATGTACTTTTATTACTTTCAAGTACGTATTTTAACTCCAACTAGGCAAACAAATTGTTGTCTGGTAGAAGTCTTAGGGGACTCCGGTTATTGGAGCTCTCAGGATGATTTTCAATTATTTCTATGTAAATAGGTGCTTCTGGAGTTCTTTAGGGTGCTCGAAAAACAGTTGATTCTCATAGATCTTAAACATTATTCTTGTAGCCATGTGCTGTTAATTGGCACACCCTTAGAGGAGGGGGTTTGTTAAATTAAGATAAACTTTAGACCAGCTGCTAAATAACTTATCATTAATTCATGAAGTCCAAGAACCCAAGTGGATGAGGTTTTTATTTCAGTTGAAGTTTGATCTCATCTTTATTTTTCCCCCTGAAGGCAGTTCATTTACTCCTACAGGCATTCATTTATTCATTAAGTGATATTAATGGACTGCTTTGGATGTACCAGGCACTCAAGTTATACTGCAAAGCCTAAGCTACCCTAAAGGAGCTTAGCATCTAGTGAAGGAGGCCGGCAGGTAAGTACAGTGCAACAAGGCATGGTGAAAAGAGAGGATGCCCAAGGTCTGCTCGGAGGCAGTAGGGGCTTGGAGAAGAGTCAAATTAATCAGACTGAATGAATCTGAGGATTTCCAGAGGAATTCCAGAAGGATTTCTAGAGACTGAGTTACATTTTGAAAATGGATTTGAGTTAGCAAAAAATAAAAGAAAGAACCAGATGATGATGATAAAGGAAAAAGCAGAAAGCGGGATGAGGACAGCAGTCCAGGTAGAGAGAACAGCGTGTTCAAAGGCACGCAGGTGTGAAATGACCTGCTATGTATGGTGACCCAAGCTTCGCCTTTGGAGATAGGTAGAGTGAAAATCATGAAAGGCTGTATTGTGCTAGCTACAGAGTTTGAACTTGATCTTGAAGGTCATGGGACAGGTTTGGTAGGATTTTCAGCAGGAAAATGACATCATCAGATGTGTGCTTTGGAACTGTTCTTGTTTTAGTATGGGGGATGAATTGGATACAGGCCCAGAGATCAATTAGCAGCACTTGCATTAACATCGGGCATGCTATCCGTCCTTGGGTCAGAGCACTCACAGAGGGAATAGAGTGGTGGGTGGATCAAAGGAGGGTGAAACTGCAGGACTTGGTCAATGAGTCAAAGACAGAAGTCTGGGGACTCTGGATTTTTGGCTGGGGCTGCTGAGGATGAGATGAGGAGGAGGATGTGGGAAGGGTGTGGACTCTGTGCACTAGTGGGATTTTCAAGTGAGCCTTCTAGGCAGGAGGCTGGATATGTGGGGAGATGCCTGGACTGAGATGCAGAGAGAATCATCAGTTCGTGCTGAGTGCTTGAAACCATATGTTTGGATGAGGTCACCCCGGAATGGTAACAGGATGTGAAGGACAGCACCTTGGGATGGCTGTCCGGGCCACAGAGGCATGGAAGGGAATGAGAAGGAAGGAAGCTTACCATTTAGCACTTCAGCCAAGTTAAAGATTTTCAGGACTGAGAAAGTATTTGGAGACTTAGCACCATAGTTAATTTTGAGTGTGCATTTAAAGTCCATTGCTCTGTTCTTAGGAGATTTTTTTTTTCCCAGCATAGTTTTAGAATCTGTTTTCAACATATCCTTCCCTACATAAAGATTAGATGTAATGAGTATTAATAAAGGTAGAATCTGAGAATTCTAGCCCATTAAGATGAGGAAACTAGGTTCCTTACTGTAATTTGTCATTATGATATTCATTCCTTCTACAAATATTATGAGGGGCCTGCTCCAAGCGAGTCCTGTGAAGTCTCTAGGTCTCTGTGCCTTTTACTGAAAAATTACAGTATTAAAGTATTTGCTACTAGGTTCTTAAATTAATAAATTTGTACTTAAAAAAGATAATCGGGTTAGCTTTTCTGAATTGCTTATTACCAAGGTCTATGGAAAGACCTTCATGCTTTGGGTTTATAAGCACTTTCTTTTCTATGTAATATTTGACTTCATGTAGCACAATAAAAATTTTCCTGGCGCTTTCACAGTTATTTTGTAATTTGGTTCTCTTAATGAACAGCTGAGATAGGTTGGATAGGCATCATTCCTGTTTTCCTGATGTAGAAACAGAAGCTCAGTGAATAAGCACATAATTTAGGAAGTAAGTGAACAAGAATTTACCCCTGGTCTTGTGACCATAATTTCAGTGTTCTTTCCATGAAAAGGGACATATTACTCAAAGTTTAGATGTTAGTAGTTGAGCAATAGCAAACAGGCGAGAAAAGTTCTGATTTTTTTGAGAACTATTTGTTATTACTACCATCTTCAATTAATACTATGTTGAGTGGTAAAGGAGTGGTGATGCTGTAGTAACTGGATTCTAGAATTTTAGTCCAGAAACCCTTTTTTAAATGACAGGTTTGTAGAAAGTTGACAAATGCATTTGTTTGTCTTTTCGTTTTTGTTTAACCTGGGTAAAGGCTCACTATTTCAGTAATGGGTACGGGTCTTCTACTGTTAATATGGAACACTGAACTGTTGGAAATATTTAATTTCTCCTGTGGGATTTTCAATAACTTCTGCTTCTCGAGTGGAAAAGTGGAGCTGCCAGCACCCTGTGAGGGAGTGTGGCTTACATGTGACTGGATGACTGGGAGCCTTCTCCCTTAGTTGGGCTGAACAGCGGGCAGGATAACCTTCTTAGCCCTTGTCAATATTCTGTCTTGCCCTGAGTGTGTGGGGACAATGTAGAGGGTTAGATGTGGTCCACCCTGGACTCTGGTCTTCTCTCATATTCTTAACCTATTTGTCCTTCTGTTTATTGATTCACTGATGATTGATTCATTCCTTCTAAGAACTATGGGTGTGTGAAAAGCACTGCGGGAAAATGAGTTATGTCCACACACTCTGGTAGGAGATGGAAGTGAAATGTGTACTCAGGGCAGGGTGCCTGGTTTCTGTTTCATTTCTGCCCCTGGTCAGGATCCGCTTTACACTGAACCAGTCACACTTTATGTAAGAGGGGCTCTTATCAAGAATTGTTTTTATAATCCTTCTTATAATTAAAAATGTGCATTTAAGAAATAATGGCCAAAATGTTTAGAACATTGCTGTATTGTTGCCTTGTTTTTATTGTCTGTCTTCCAAATGATTTAAAAATACATAATGAAAAGATTTGAAAATAAGTCTTTTTGGAGCATTAACTCATCACCTTTGTATGCATATTGAGGACAAGCAGTAGGGCAGAAATCTCCAGTGCAAGAACAAAGTATTACTTTAGAAGGTGAGACTTACAGGTAGCAAAAGCTATTTAAGGGAATGTGGACTGTTTTTCTCCTTTTCTGTTAATTTTCTGTCTTGCAAACTCTCATTTTATTATCTGCATAACAGAATGGAGGTTCTTTGTCCAGAAAACGCCATAATATTTCTTCTTCTTCTGCTCTGGAGGATTGACAGCCTGCTTCACAGATGTGCCAAAGCAAAGCAGTAGAAAGGCCTACAATTTCAGTCCTGAAGTCTTTTTTTCTTTTTTTCAAAACAAAAGGTTAAAAATATTTAAAGTGAAATTGAGTTAACAAGTTTATAATCACCAAAGAATAAATGATACTTTCAAAGATTATCATGCCAAACATAGCACTTTTTTGTTGTACATGTTTTCATATTTTAAAATTAAGCTGATGTAGTGAAGAGCACTTTAAAAAAAAGTGTTTTAAATTTGACTCTGTATTTCCTGTTCTTGTTATCTTTAAAAAGGAATAAAATGATCTACTCTGTATTTTTTTAACTTCTCTAACTTTTACCTATAATGTGAGGCTGTTATGAAGAAGTTGTTTACTACATGGGAAAGTATATTTTAAAAATAGAGATGTATGTCAAAAGTACCCATCTTTCTGTTCATATTACTAAGTTAGTATTGCTTATTCTCAGGGCATCGGGGTGCACAAAAGTCATTTTCAACTCTCCTTGCTTGCTTTTGACATGACCTTTGTTACTCTTTCATATTAGTGTTCTAGCAAGTAACTTATCAGGCAGGGCCTGTAGTTTTAATGCAGAGAAATGAAGAAAGTATGAAATGACCTTTTTTAAAACTTGATAAAAATGTGAACATATTTTTCATGATTAAAAATTGAAAATCTGTTTCAGAATACTGTGTTCTTATTGTCTTCATATAACCTGTAAAACCAAATCATGCCCAGCTTGGTTTTGCGTTATTGTAAAATTCCATTTGTGGCAATAGTGTTTCTTGGACTTCCTGTGGTGCTTGATTCATTAACTTCTTGTTTTTTTAAAGGATTACAACCACATCAGTTAAAGCTCCTTCCAGTTTTGTTCTAGTACAGTCATTTCTCTCAGCCCTCCCGAGCCCTACTTGCAATTCTGAAACATATTTCTTTGTGATGCCCTTACAGGAATTTGTAAGTGTCTGGGTTCGAGATCCTAGGATTCAGAAGGAGGACTTCTGGCACTCTTATATCGACTATGAGATATGTATTCATGTAAGTATGCCATCAATAGTACATAGAAATCATAGTAATTTTTAGGTAGCATACATTTGATGGATACTACAATATAAGTGAAATTTATAAAAATGTTTCTAATTCAAAGAACTGAAGTTGAATGATTGCAACTAATGCTTGTCTCTTAAATGAAGTAGTATGATGGTTCCTAAAGTTGAAAAATGGACTTATTTGAATTCCTCATTGTACCTTTGTTAATATTAATATTTTAATGTTTATTGCCTTCATGTTGAAGATGTAAAACATCTAAAATTCACAAAGAGTTTTTATAGTTCATTAATGGTATTTCTTTATGATCTGTTATGGCATATTTCTGCAGACTATATTACCTGATAAATCTTAAGTTCTGAGAGGATGTAGAGTTCTCTGGAAAAGAGATGTGCAGTGTTTTATATGTAGAACAGAAAAGTGGGAAATGAATATGTGCAACTATTTTTGCCTTGGTCTCAATGCTGAGTAATTAAGAGAAGTAATTAACTAGAAATGACTTATTTTATTTGGAAATAATACTGTATCATAACCTTTTGAGGAGTATTGTGTGTTGTGTGGCCTCCTATAATTATCTTGAATAAGGGTCAGCTATCTTTTTCTGTAAAGGGCCCGGTAGTAAAAATCTTTGGCTTTGTGGGCCATACAGACTCTCAGAATCACTGAAAACAGCCTTAAACAATACATAAATGAATGAGTATAATTGTGTTCCAATAAAAATTTATTTGTGAAGACAAGTGGTGTCTGGATTTGGCCCACAGGTGTATATAGTTTATTGGCCCTTGATCATGAAGATAATCACTTCTTTTGTCTGATTTAGTCCAGAGTTCTCTTGAGAGCATAGAAATGGGCTCAGATTTTATCTGTGACTGTGTAGTATTATACAAGTGAGATAAAATTTAGCCACTCTTTACTCTTCCCATTGTTAATAGCTAAATTGTTATATTGGGCACCTCAATGCCACTAAACTCTTTTTTCCCCTTTCTTCCCTTTTTCTTTCAAACTTCCTCAACTTCGAAAATACAGTAAAAACTCAGAATGCTTTTTTTAGATGATGGTGTTGAAGGCCATTATCAGGGTATGCCTTGTATTTTGATTTTGTTTTGGTTTTACTCACAAGGTCACACTAGATATGCATTCTGTGTGGAAAATTATAACATGAGTATATAAGACTGAGCATTTGAAAATGAAATGAAATTCTTTAGTTGCCTTTTGACTTCCTCTAAAAAATTTGTGGGTCAAATTTTGACATATTTATTGACACACTTTATAGTAGGTATGAAATTTAATTATCCTCAGGGAGTTAATGAAAGTATAGATCCTTCTTTTCTACATAAATGATGATGTGAGTTCAGAAATGTCCATTAAAAGCCAGAAATAATGGGTTCCACAAGTACTATTTGGTGATGCTCCGGCATTTTTCTGTGGTGGTAGTGGTTGGCCTTTCTCTGAGATGCTAATAAATTGACAATAAATACATGTTCTTGGCTTGGTAGATAGCAGAAACCAGCAACTAGATTTAGAGGAACTTAATAAATTAGTGATCTCAGTGTAACCTGATCCTGAAGAGGCTTCCACCTGCTGTATGATTAGGAATGGGTGGGGAGCCTGGATAGTTCTAGTTAGCCTCGCGTAGACACTGCATCCATAGACCCATAGAGCTTTGCAGGTAGAGGAGCTGGTGTTTAACCCATTTAAATTAGCCTCAAGGGAAATAATACCAGACAACTCTGAAGTCGTAGCGTTTACCTGGAATTTTAAACTAATGGATGGTCAAGGTGAGTAGCCCTTCATGTGTTCTCTCCTGAGCTTGTCCTTCAAATGAAGGACTTATAGAGAGACCTTGGTCTGGTGCGGGCACCACGTGGATCTCCAGTTATTCCATCCACTGTGGTTCTGAGCAGAGAAATGAAGGGAGCTGCCCTGGACCCCACCTACGCCCGAGGCTCAGGAGGGTCTGCAGTGGCCTGGTCCTCTCCAGGGAGAGAGCACTGAAGGATGCCCACCAGACCTCACTAGGGCACGGATCCTGACGTAAATAGCCTGCCGGCTGAGACCCCAAGGGTCACGTTAGAGGGAGGCCCTGGTGCGCTCTGAAATCCACACACACAATGTTGTTATTGTCCCACAAACTCCGTCTAGCGCATTTTGCTGCCGAATTGTCCACAGTGAGATTTAGACCAATAACTACTTTGTGGACAAGTTTCTTAACCTCTCTGCATCCTGAGACTCTTTGAATTTTATAAAGCTCAGGAATACCAGGAACTGTGCTGTATATCTAACGGGGACCGTTAGGAACTAATCCTGCTATCACTGGCACTTCCCAGAGAAAACAGCCTTTGGGTGCATATTAAGCAAGTTGATAACAGTTTTTGAAGTAATATCAATCTCCGGGGTAAAAAAGTTTCTCCTTTGGCAGTATAAAGAGTATGAAATAAAATGTTGAAATTAATAGGCAGAATAGAGCTCTTCTTACAAAATCAATCCCTTGTTTTACACAAAGGAGAAACAGCCTTGGGTAAAACCCACAGGAGAAGCATCGAGGTTTTGCCTCAGGTAGGGACTCAGGGTGGCTTTTCCTAAATCTGCCTTAAGGTAGCAGAAAGTACCAGTTATATCTAGTAACTAATGATAATATTAAGAGAGAACATTTGCCATTGCATATTGTCAATCCTGACATTGACCCTGGGAAGCAGGAATGTGCTATTTCATCCGCATTTTCCCATCCAAGGAACTGGAGTTCAAGTCACTTGCCTTACGGCAGAGCCAGTACTGGACTTTGGGTCCTCCACACACATACTTGTCCTGTGCACCTCATGCCTCTTTCCCTTTTAAACAGACCAATAGCATGTGCTTTACAATGAAAACATCCTGTGTGAGAAGAAGGTATAGAGAATTTGTGTGGCTGAGGCAGAGACTCCAGAGTAATGCATTACTGGTGTAAGTGATTTAAAGAGTATATTGAGAAGACTTTATTATTATATTCAGTATTTAAATATTTAACACAGTACTGTATATAAAATAAGCAACAATGATTTACTGAATAGCACAGGGAACTATATTCAATATCTTGCAATAACATGGATAGCAATCTGAAAAACAGTGGAAAACTCCTGAAACTAACATAATATTATAAACAATATACATCAATTAAAAAATTGACATGTATTGATATATATAAAGGATTTTGTAGGCTTTCTTCTTGATTGCAATATATAGTTTATTTTTTTGGCTGTTGCCTCTGAATTCAAAATTTACCACTTGAATTATACTAATTTATATGAGTATTGATCATGAAAGACCTCAAAAATGTTTAAAAGTATTTTTTCTTTAAGTTAACTGATTTTTTCATACCCTTATTGTATAATGTAAAATATGTACACACTATAAAATATGTGTATAATTATATAATAGTTGTGTGATAATTATCATGCATGATTTGCTTTCATTTTGAGGGATTTCTGTAACTAAATCACCTTGATTTGATGATTTAAAAAAATTTTTTTTTCTTTCTCATAAGACAACTGCCAGAACTTCCATCTAAAAACCTATTTTTCAACATGAACAATCGCCAGCATGTAGATCAGCGCCGTCAGGGTTTGGAAGATTTCCTCAGAAAGTAAGTGTGCAGACGCTCTGGTGGCCAGATGGGAGATGTGAGCACAAGGCTCTGTAAGAATTGAGGGTCCTGTGGTCAAGCTGGAGAGAATGCTCCTGTTTCTAAAATGCTGATAATCTGCTTTGGAGGGATGCTCAGTAATTCATTTCCTATATTGTTAGTCATTCAGTCGTGTCTGACTCTTTGCGATCCCATGGACTTTAGCCCACCAGTCTTCTCTGTCCAAGGGATTCTCCAGGCAAGAATACTGAAGTGGATTACCATTCCCTTCTCCAGGGTATCTTCTCAACCTAGGGATTGAACTTGGATCTCCTGCATTATAGGCAGAATCTAGGCAGATTCTGAACCACCAGGGAAGCTAGTTTAATCCCTGCCTCCATCCTCACGTGTCTTTCTTTTCTCTGTGTCTCAGATTTCCTTTTCTTTCTCTCAAAATAACGTCAATCATTGGATTTAGAGCCCACCCTAAATCCAGGATCATCTGTCTTGAGATCCTTAATTTAATTACACCTGCTAAAACCTTATTCCAAATAAGGTCATGATCATAGGTTACTGGGATTTAAGAAGAACATCTCTCTCAAGGAGATAATGCAATCCTCTACAGTAACTTTCAGGTATTGGCCAATAGAAGCCAATGCTAATCCTCCTCAGAACTGTAAATCCATTTGTGCGCTGTTTGCTGCGCTCATTCATTTCCTATATTAGAGCGCCATCTTGTGGCTCACCTCACACGGTGCATATTCAGGACCAAACCTTCCAGAAAGAAAACAATGAACTAATTGAATCAGATAATAAATATATACTCCCTTAAGCTATAAAGCAGAGCCAAATTGCTTTGAGAGTTTAGCTGACAAGAGTAAAATTTTCCGGGAAACAAATGTACCTTATTAAAAGGCACTTCTTAGAAACTCTCTTTATTTACGTTTAGGCTCGACATACCAACATCAGCTCTACGGTGGGCTGCTAACACTGCTCTGAGCTCCTTTAAGTGAATAACTTGTTGCTGCTCTTTGGAGGGAATGTTTATAAGGGAGTATTTATTGGTGTTTGAATAGTCTTAGTGGGTTATTAGGGCTTCCCAGGTGGTGCTAGTGATAAAGAATCTGCCTTCCAGTGCAGGAGATGATGTAAGAGACATGGGTTTAATTCCTGTGTCAGGAAGATCTGCTGGAGAAGGGAATGGCTACCCACTCCAGCATTCTTGCCTGGAGAAGCCCACGGACAGAAAAGCCTGGTGGCGTTGCAAAGAGTTGAACACAACTGATCGTCTTAACACACGCGCACACAGTGGGTTATTAACTCTGGAGCACTTGGTAATGGTTGGTACTGCAGTGAAAGTGACTTGAATTCACACTGCTATGATTACCCCCCCCCGCCTTTTTCCCACTCTGTAATACACACTGATCTGCACACAGACTCTGAGGTCAGACTGCCTGGGTTCAAATCCTGCTTCTGCTACTTATTAGCTGGGAATTTAGGCAAGCCTTTTACCTCCTCTGTGCTTGTGTTTGCCCACCTATAAAATGGGGTAATAACAGTATCTACTTCATAAGGCTGTCAGGAGGATTAAATCAGTTAAGGAATGTAAAGCACTCACAACAGACTGAAATATAATGTGCGATATCCAAGTATCAGCCATTATTTTAATGCACTTAGACATGAAATAGCTTTGAGCTAATTTTTCTATCTTCCTATTTATAGATAAGGGAATAGGCTGAGTCCGATGACTACTAGTTAGTGGCAGGGCCCAGTCTCCTGAACTCTTTCTGCTAGCTTCAGGATCTGAAGCCATCTTTTGAGTTTTCTACTCGACACCTTCGAGCTAGCCTGAAATAATATACTGCCCTCTGGCTGTCTCTCTCTCTATGGCTCACTCATCAAAGGCTTGGGTATTAAGTATCCACATGAATATTAATATTTATTTCTATTAGATTGGTATCATGCTTTTCCTTTGAAGGGGTCATGGAGACAGAGAAACAGCCAAGGTTATAAATTGAGGGAGGGCTGGGAAAGAAAAAGGAAACAGAGGAATAAAAATGACAAGAGAACAGAAGAATCTAACTGAGCCAAGTCCTCAGAAATCCTCACAGTGGTGTTCTTTGGAGTCCCATAGGCATGACAGAACAAAGACCTGCTCAAGTTTTTCCTGCCCTTTCCCTTTGGGGATAGCTCCAATTTTAATTGTCTATATGAGACCCAGGTGGTTGATGGCCTCTCCCTAAAGACCTGATCCCCGCAGACAAGTTTGCAGAGTGGCCTGTCACTCCAGATGCTGCTGGGAGATGCTGCAGACTGGCCATCGCCAGTGAGTCCCAGACAGGGCTAGTCGTATCCTGCAGTCTCCATAAGCATTTGGGGAGCTGTGTGTTTTCTGTAGAGAAGTATCCTTATTTGAGATCAAAGGACACCATGTGTCTCTTTGCTTATGTGGCTTGTTAAGCACAAGGCATGTGTTTTTTGACCAGGAATTACTTCATTGTTTTGAACATGACCTCTCCTTGCACAATTGGGCAACCAAATGCATGCCGGTGTGAGTCTCTAGGCTGTTGAGGGGTTGAGCTCACTTACCGTAGGTTATTCTCGCATGCTGTATTGTTTGGCAGCTTGCTGGTGGAATTTTATGCAGAGGTCATAATGGAAAGTGTCCTGGGTCAGGAGCTCGAGGGATTGGGTTCCAGGTCTCCTGTGAATCTTCGCTCCTGGTTGTTTTCTGGCTCTGTAACCTCAGAAAAGTCATTCATTCCTGTGAGCCTTGGTTTGCTGGAAAGTGCAATAATGTAATACACACATCACGACCTCATGGGTAGTTGTGTCATTCAGAGGAGGGTTGGGAAAGGACTCAGTGAGCCAATACATGAAGTGACTGCTTTTGACCAGGCTGGGTACTGAGGATATAGGACTGCACAAGACGGACACATATCCCTGTCCTCTTGAAGCTTCCGTTCTAGCGGGGAGGCAACTGCATACTTATCAGGGATGTCTTGATTCGTTAAAGTCAAGACAAATCTTGATGTCATCCAGAAGTCAAATCATGGAGCAGACACCATTGTGATGTTATTTGTCCCATTATGGTCTGTGCACATAATCTCCAAAAGATGAATTTCACATGAAAAATGGAAGCTGGTGCTTCTATGTGGTCTGCTCCTGAAGGTCCTAATACCACACTGTTGGATTCAGTCCTCACCTAAATGCCCTAAATGCTGTGGCCCCTGCTATCCTCCCCACCGTCTTTTCTGTGCCCCTCAAATCTGATACATAGTCCTGTTCTTGGTCCAGTGTGTGTTGAAATAGCAGCCTTGCATGTCTTTGCCTCTCGTGGACCCCTCTGTCTCCCCAGCCTAAGCCCACTTTGGGAAACGATGCAACATGCATCTCAGCCATCTATGTCCTGACCCCACCTTGATGTCCTCTGAGGCCCGTTGGTTACCCATTAAATGAGGCCACTGTCGGTAGCCTGTTCCTTGTTTGTAGAGCACTTTTGGAATTTAAGGAAAAAACACCACAATATTAAAGTACAAAATATGCCTGTGTATAGTAGATTTTTAGCATATATTTTTAATTATTGTTGGCTGCACCACACAGCATGCAGGATCCTAGTTCCCTGACCAGGGATTGAACCTGCACCCCCTGCGGTGGAAGCACAGAGTCCCAACCACGGAACCGCCAGGGAATTCCCTTTTTAGCATGTATTTTTAAGACTTGGTTTTTAAACTGGTGATGATGAATGGGAATGAAATTAGGGGGCTTCCCAATAAGTGCCCCAAATAAACATGTTGCTTTTTGAATTCTTAAAAGACTTGGTTTTTATATAAATTTTGAAGTTATAAACCAAGAGTGTTGTATATGTTCAACCTCTTTGAAACAAAACTACTGCTGTTTCTGTGCATAGGTATGTGTCTATAATATAAATATGTATTTTTTCCATTTTAAGCTTATCTGTGAAGTAATACATATTTGATAGCAATGTATATAGCCTGGCAGTCTTCATAGAGAAACTAGAAAGTTGTTCCTTTGCTGAGGTACCAAATAAGAGGAATTTATACCATTTTATCAGAGAAGGCAATGGCAACCCACTCCAATACTCTTGCCTGGAAAATCCCATGGATGGAGGAGCCTGTTGGGCTGTGGTCCATGGGGTCGCTAAGAGTTGGACACGACTGAGCGACTTCACTTTCACTTTTCACTTTCATGCATTGGAGAAGGAAATGGCAGCCCACTCCAGTGTTCTTGCCTGGAGAATCCCAGGGACGGCGGAGCCTGGTGGGCTGCCGTCTATGGGGTCGCACAGAGTCGGACACGACTGAAGTGACTTAGCAGCAGCAGCATACCATTTTATTGAAGACTGGCTATGTTTAGCTTTTTACATGTTTTATCTCAATACCTATGACAATATTAGGAGTCAAGTTTCATCTCAGTTTTATAGATAAGGAAATTATAAGCAAGGTGGAGGCACTATATTAATCCCAGGAACTGGCAGCTTTATATTTGGAACTCTTAAATGCTAGCTAAATTAGTTAGTATGATTGTGAAATTTTTCAAATATATTCATTTTTTCTCTGTCTTGGGCATAATCTCCCTTTGGGATTTCCTCCCTGGCTAATTTTAAATTGTAAGTCACTTTTACGAATAGTTATGAACAAAGAAGTTATAGACTAAATTATAAGCTCTGTTGGTAAGTCTCCAGCTATGAAACTGGCATTCCTACTATTTTTTTGCACTTTGCTATCACAAGTGGGCGCCAACTTTTCTTCTTTACTGAATTCATCCCATTAATATAACTACACATACCTTACAAGGTAGACTTTCATATAACAGTTCTGTATGTCTTAAAAATTTAATGAATTTATATAAAAATTTTTTATGAAAGGATATCATGGAAACACTACAGCTAGTTTTATACACACACACACACACACACACACACACACACACACACACACTTTTTATAAGTCTTTATGTTCAATAGAGGGCACCACAGCACAGATCATGAATATCTTCAATGAAGATTTGTAGGTTTTATTTTTTTTCTCATGGTAAGCGGTAAACAGGCTGAATTAATTTTTTCCCCTACATCAAACTGGTAAACTTCCACCCGCTATACAGATGTGTATGTATATCATTATATTGGGTTCTGTAGACTCAGGGCATCCTTAGTTAGGGTTACATGGTTTGCATAGCTATATATATTCTCAGCTGAAGCAATATAGAATACACCTAATAAACTCATGTTGAGGAAAACCAGATTTTCAAATGTGTTTAATTCAAGGAAAAACAGGTTTTGCTTTGTTTAAAGTTATTAATGGAGAAAGGAATAACTTTTGACTCATGTAATAAATAGCTTGTGCTTAAAATTCCTTTAAAATTCTAGAGGCTATTTTTTTTGTTCCTTTTATAAGGGCTTGAAAATTATATGTTTATTTTTATGGAGACTTACAAAGGTGACATTTTACTGACTGTTTTACAAAGTACTCTTTTAAGTTTGAAGTTGATTTTATGCTATTAAATTTGTGGAAAATGTGGTACAAGTATGACTAGGGTAAAAATAGGATTTAATATTATGATGGCAGTCACAATACTCTGACATATAGTAAATCGGATATTACTTAAAATGAACTAATTTTGCTTACTGAACCAGATGGGAAAATACTGTGAAAATTTTGTATTTTTAATTTTGGAATGAAACACTTGACTGAAAATAAAAATCATAAATATGATTTAAAAATTATTTTTGCTTATTTAAACATTATCCATGGAGTATGGTGGCATAAATTTAGCCAGCCAGACAGAGGAAATTCACAAAACCTAAACTGGGCAGATGTTTTTGCACTCAAGAGCCTGTATGGTTCTTCAGAAGTTCCCAGCCACATCCTTCCCTTCCAGAATTGCGAACTAGGTGTGCTAAGCTCCCTCTGACTGTTCACCTGTGTGTCCTCCAGATGGCAGTATTAAGCAGAAAAGACAAGACTGGGAAATAATGAGTCTAATGTACAGTAAAATTGGAAATTGAATTATAGTTCAAGAAAAAAGACAGTAGCCTCGAGGTCCTGATCAACCTGGACTCTGATCACTTTTGTTTGCTGTACCCATGTGTTAGGTTACTAGCAAGTTAATAACAGTGTGTGACCAGTTCAAGGCTCAATAGAATTGCTTTAGACATGAAATAAAGCTAAAATGAATTTGTGTCCAATATCATTGGCATTAGTGCTCTTTACTTTCGTGGTGTAATGCCTCGAAGCATCCAAAATCAATTTTAAAGATTACCCATTATTTTATAAAGAAAATAAAACACATTTCCAACAGAAACAAAGCAGTAAGTATAATCCCATGAACAGTTACTTGTAACATCGTGGGCAGGAAACCGCTGACAAAAGGACACAGGAAACACTCAGTTCAAACTTCACAGTGACTGCAAGTTAATATTAATGTGTCGTTGCTATATAAATCTTCTCTTGATTTGAAGCATTTAAAACAAGAGTGGTAAACATTTATAAATGTAGAAAATAAATCTCAAAGAGTAGTAAAAAGGATTTACTACTTTACTCCTTGTACTTGGTAAATTAATCTTTATCATGTGATATGGTCATTTACTGAGGGAACTCAGGGCAGAGGACATGGAAGAGTGGAAATATTTAGCTATTTTGCTTGAGGCTTTGCCTTTTAAAAACGCACCAAGGTTTTACTTTTCATGTTAGTAGGTCAGTAAAGAATGTTTGCTCAAAAACCATTTGTAAACCTATCTGAAGCAAAGAGGACAGCCAGATTTTGGTTTTGATACTGTGTATTTCTCGATGCTTGCCTTCTTTAAGAAATAACTGTCTTATTTGAAAGAGAAGGAAATATTCCAGTGACCTTGATTTTTAAGTAAATTGATATGAATGATCAAAAGAGATTTGCTTTTCTAATTAACTTGTTTACTTTTCTAATTAACTTGTTTTCTGCATCTAAGAATGCAGAATATAAGGTAAGTTTTGTTGGTCTGAAATACTCTGTTTCTCATAGATCTCCATATGAAAAATCTGTATTGAACAGAATCACACTTGAGTTTCAATGTTTCAGGTTTGTCCCCAACATCTGGTCTTAGTGGCTTGTGTTATATCATTGTTGAACTATTAACAGAGACTAAGTTATCATATGTCAAAATCGTTCCTAAATAGAGAAAACCAGTTTTTATTTAAACATAAGGGTGTTCTTTGATATGCATTTCAGAAAAGACACATTAACTGATTAGATGAATTTGAGCATGTGTACCTTTTGCTACAGGGCACTTTTTCATTCTCCATGTAGTTTCATTCTGCATGATGTACTAGCTGAAATCTGTTCTCCCTTTGTAAACTTTGATCTTGGAATGTGGGAAGGCTAGTATGTACTTATTACAGACTTATCATACTTTAATTACATAAATGGTAAAACTGGCTGGGAGCAATTTTTATTTAGTGACTCATTTAAAAATACATACACTGCTGAAGATTTTGGAGAAATTTCTAGTCAATCTTAAGTATTCAAAAAACACTCCCTCTCAATTGAGCCCTTGTGTACCTGTATATAAGCATCTTTGTAAAGTTTGAAAATGTAAGACATGCTGAGAAATGTATTGACTTTTTAATATAGTTTTTAATAGTCATTGAAAGTTTTGATGTTTCATGACAGCCTAACCAATAAAGATCACAGAACTGACATGATGGTTGGCAGTAAATTTTTTAAAGGCAGAATAAATTTCTCTGACTATCTCAGCAAAATATTTCCATAATTAATCCACATGGTCATAACAGATGGTTAAATTGAAGAAATGTCCTTGAAGTTATTCTTTTAACAGATGTTCTTAACTATTAGCTTCATGTTTTTACTCACCTAAATTTCCAAATAATTGAATAAAAGTTAACATATGCTTTCATCCTTTTAATAGGGAGACTCTGTAATTGATGCCGAGTTTGCCATAGTAGAGAAATCACTTCAGTGGCATATTTCTAATGTTTTTCTCTCTCCCACCCTATAATTGTCCCTTCCTGCACGCTGATCGTGTCTTCTTTTTTCGTTTACATAGGGTTCTACAGAATGCACTTCTACTTTCAGATAGCAGCCTTCACCTCTTCCTGCAAAGTCATCTGAATTCAGAAGACATCGAGGCGTGTGTTTCTGGGCAGACTAAGTACTCTGTAGAAGAAGCAATTCACAAGTTTGCCTTGATGAACAGACGTTTCCCTGAAGAAGAAGAAGAAGGAAAAAAAGAAAACGATATAGATTATGATTCAGAAAGGTATTTCCTTGCATTTTGATATAACGTATACGTATTTATATAACACATCGTACACATATGCGTGTGTATAGACATATACACACACTCCACTTTTTGTTGATGTAATACTAAGATAATGAAAAAATTAATTGACTGAGATTTTATTGAGCTGTGACAGCTCATCATAGTAGTCTTCACACACACCTCCACACTGAATTAATGAATGCAGTAGAAATTCAATTATCTGCATTCTGATTATGTGACTTTCATTTAGTCAGACTTGAATTATTCGCGTTTAAATTATCTAGCTAAAAAAATATCCAACTGCACTCCAAATGGCTAATTAAAAGTCCAAATTTCCTGTCTCTCTTTGTGACTGGAGATAATTAAAGTTCTCCTCTGTTACTCAGGCTTTGAGTGTGTTGTGAAAACCAATTTCCTCTTTTTATTATTTTCCCCCCTCTCTTCTTTTCCAGTTCATCCTCTGGGTTTGGACATAGTAGTGATGACAGCAGTTCGCACGGATGTAAAATGAGCACAGCTCCACAGGAATCCTGAAAAATAATTCTAATGTTACCATTTTAGGAATAGCAAATTGTGTCCAGTCATAGAGAATAAAGCTTGCGAATAATATATTCTTACCTAAAGCTAACTGTCATATTAAGTATTTAAATTCGTAAAGATGTTGTGTTGTTTATTAGTGGTATTTTTATGTTGTCTTATTTTGGCTAAGCTTCTGTGAAAAGCTAAAAGCCTGTGAATGCAGCACTCTCCTTGATCAGCGCACGCTATTGGTAAAATGAGATCCTGCCCTCAGATGAAATGATTTATATGTTTAAACAAAATCTAGTTGGCTTTATTGCATTTTAAAAGATAGGTAAATAGGTAGCATTTCAAATCCAGATGGAGCATTTCTCCTTGTATTACTGGGGCAGTGTTAGCATAAACACAGCAGGTATGTGTATGACTTACGGCACAGACCAGAATGCCTCTTTCAGACAGGCAGCTGGAATTTTGTGGGTACCTCCTCTGCACTGGAAAAACACTGAGCTTTGGAATGGTTGATTGAAATATTTTAAGAGTGTTTAACCTTTTCATTATTCTGTTTCACACTTAGATGGAAAATGTATCTTACGAATAGAAACATGTTAAAACAATGTCTACATCTTTAAAAATAAAAAGCCCAGAAATAGCTCTAGTCATTTTGCTTATATTTGCAATATATTGAGGGCTTCCCTGGTGGCTTAGCAGTAAAGAATCTGCAATATATAGATTCAGAAATACATTTTCATTGTCCAAAATCAGCTTTAACACATGGTTTCTGGGAACAAACCATTTGTTTTCATTATCTGTGTGTAATTAGAATTAGAGGTTCATGATTTATTTTCTGACTTAATGTGCAATTTCTTATCACTAGATAACTTTCAGTATCAGTGACAGTTGCTTGTTACTTTAAGTTAAAAGTAGGATCTTATACAAATTAATAAAATTTGCCAGTAAATATTCCCATAATATAGAAAAGGATATGAACTTGCTAATTTCAGAATTATTCATTTTTTTAAAAGTCCTTTCTTTTAAGGCATCTGCCTAAGGATTGGTATAATTTAACAAAATGTCTTTTTCTATAGTGGTCAAAGATAAAATATCTTAGATAAACTACATTGAACGTCAAATTTCAGATGAGGCAGCATTTTCTTGAGATAACTTCATATTTCTTTCTTGTTGAATGGTATGAAATATCTCTGAAATTAACAAGAAGATATCTTTATATAAGAGGGATAACTTGTTGCTTTAATTAAATGTTACTTCACCCTCATTTTAACTAGGAGTTTATTAAAAGTTAATGTATTATTTTAAAAAGTCTGTGAAATGCTTGTAACTGAGACTCAACAGAAAAAAATTAAATTTAGGATACGAATGATTTCCTTAATTTTGCCATTTTGTTTTCTGTTTGGTCTAAAAGGTTATTGAACTTTTTGTAAATATTTTTATTTAATGTATCTTGGATCTTACTACTTTTATCATCTACGACTCATTATTTTAATACTGGAGAAAAAAGACTTATCAATTTCTTTTTATCTTGCTGACATGTGAAGTTTGCCATTAAGTCACTTCAGTGTGGTCACCAGCTCCTTGGCAACATGTATTTGTATTCATGTTCTGTTTTACAGTAGTTTTGAAAAGCATATATTGTGCCACCAATTGTAATGTAATTCTTAGATGATGAGACTATAGCTGTCAAAATTGATATTAAGTAATGTGTAATACTGTGGTATGTAAACTTCATGAGAGCATCATTTTCACATTAAACATGAAAAAAACAACTTGTTTGTTGCTTATTTTATACAATATATTTCTTCTGACTTAGATCTAAATTCAGTATATTTCTGAATCATCAGTAATTTTTAATGGATAATTTTGGTAAAATTTGATTTCATATTCACTGTAGTTGTATACATTTAAGGCGTTTAGCCTTGGTTTGGTTGTTTTGATATCTAAGTACTGGCTTCTTAAAACTGATTTCCCAACAGCTGAGAGATTTAAATGAACTTCAACCCCTAGTGGCTTTCTTGCTTTGTTCAAGTCTCTTATTATTCTCTGGCATATTTTTATAAAGCTTTCTTTAGAGAAAGAAAACAGTTACTTACATAACTAAATAAAATAGATGTTTATTTAAAACTATTGAAAATGTAACAAATTTAAAGAATTCTTATCCTGGATGCTTTATGATTTGTATACAGCAAAACTATATTTCTCTGGCTAATTCTGAAAGGGCATGCTATTCACCTATTAAACTAGTTTATGTGTTCTGTTTCAGAACTGATTTTATGTGTAATCCCAAAGTGTCAACAATGAAAGTCAACAACCTGTTACTTAGGGCTTCTTTCAAAGTCTCACTTGGAAGAAAGTGATTAAAGAAACTGAGTTAAAATTTCAAGTTTTAAAAATTACTAAGGAGAAACAGAAATGCTACTCTTGAGTTATGTACCTTAAGATAATAAATACCCTGCAGGAGCTTTTAAACTCTAGTTCACATTTTACTAAATAATTAAATACAAACAAGTGATATGCAATAACCTTACTATAGTAAGACAAAAAAAATTCTCTTATGGCTGTTAAGAATTTAAACAAATTCATTTCGCTTAGCCACAATTACCATTATATCCCAACATTAAATTGAATGTTGTTTTGAACTCAGTTTGTTTTTTGGTGCCTTGAGGATTCATCATTATTGAGCAGCTGTGATACAGATAAGGTTTTCAATATTTCAGCCATAAAGGAAGACCCTTTTCCATGAAAGGCTTCTAAAATTTTAAGACAAAAATAGCAAAAGCTTATTCTATTTCTAAGTAAGTTTTCTTCTTAATATTTAAGTCACTTAGTTGATATCCTGTGAATATAATGCAGCATCTTTTCAACAGAGGGACAATTTATTTCAATACAATTTTCTGCTTTTGTTTGGAATATAGACCTTTATTATATATATAACATGTATATACAGATATTTTCAAATACACAAAGCTGTCTGAAATTAGTTATTGTAATTAGACATTCAAAGCATAGGTACAATTTCCTTTGCACATAAAGGTCATACGAAATTAATACATTTTAGTAGAATGGAATTCAAAAATTTTAGGATGTACATAAGCAACAATTTCTTTAAATTTGAAATATTTACAAAGGATTCTGGCTTTCTTCTTTGCCATATGCAGCTCACAAACGAGTCACCATTGTTCCTTTAAGTCAAACACAATTGCTCTTCACTCTTGATGGAAACTTTTCTAGATCATTGTTAGGAACGGTGCACTGGACGCTAATTTATTTTAGCTGCGCAAACTGGTAGTTGACCCCTTTTCTCCAAAATTCCAAAGACTTCCTTTTAAAATAATAGGAAACGAGAAAAAAAATTAAGCTACAATTTTTCTGCGGAATTTAAACTCTCAAGACACTACGCACATGGTTTATGCTAAACAGGAAAATACCCTTTCTCCCCCGACGAGAAGTGTAGATGCATCCAAAACCCCACACCGCTCGTCTTTGCTGCTAGAGGCACAGCACGGGCATAACTTGTGGCTGTGTTTTTGCTTGTTTCTTACCTCCGGGCCTTCTTTATAGCTCTGCCCCCCACCCCACCGGCGGCGGCGCCCCCGCTGCGGCACCCAGGCCGCCTGTTGGCTGCGGCGCCCGGCCGGCTCGCGCACACTCCCCGCGCCGCTGCCCGCACACGCGCGCTCCCGCTGCCTCCCGCCCGGGCTGCTCCGCCGGCGGCGGCGACTGGGTGGCAGGTAGCGAGCCAGCCGGCCTCGGTCCGGTAACCCATGGCAACCGCCCTGGTAACCCATAGCAACTGCTAGGCGGAAAGAAAGAAGGAAAAAAAAAAAACCAACGCGGGTGGAGGGGGGCGGCGGGTGGTGAGTGGAAACAACAACCGCAAAGAGACAGGATTTACAGCACCGACCTGCAGTGCCCCCTCCCCTGCCCACCTGCCTCGAACGTGGGTACCGCGAGGCCCCCTTCCTAACTTTAGAATGACAACTTGGCGGCTTGAAAAAAAAATAAAAAAATAATGCAGAGGGGCTTGGGGTGACAGGTTTGGTGCGGGAGGGAGGTTTGAATACCGATGACCCCCGGGGACTGCAGGTTCAGTCGTTTCCGGGGCCCGGCTGGTTTGGGAGCGGGCGTGGAGCCGGCTGCCGCCAGTCGCTCGGGTGGGTTTCGGGCTTAGCTGGGTCAGGGCGGCCGGGCCGGAGCCAGGGAGGCGGCGGCAGCAGTTCTCACTCTAGGGCTGGACCGTCTTTGTTCTACAGAAGCTCGCGCGGCGCTGCCCTCGACCCCGCCGCCGGGCCTAAGAGAGGGCGAAGACGCGCCGCCGGCTAGGGTGTGGTTGCGGCCTGTAGGGGCCCGGGAGCGCTCCGGGGTCGCGATGGAGCTGGGGCGAAGCCCACGCGTTCCGAACGTTTTATCTGCACCCGCACCGCACACGTTAGTTGTCCCCTCTCCCCTGGAGTCTCCCCAGAGCCCTAAATAAACCCTGCGGTGGGAGCGCCTTCGCGCTAACGCGCCCGCTCCCTTGTGGGTAGGGAGGGGACAGGTGCGCTTGGCTGCGGGACCGGGTCGCCGAGGAAGAAGCGCGTGCTTCTGGGTCCTGAAACGGCCCTGGGCCAAGGTTTAATGTGTGCGCGTGTGTGGAGGGAGTGTGGGGGGAATGTATAGGGAAAGACAAGTCCCTCACCCGACTAGGGCCGGGAGCCCAGAGGCCGAGCGGCTTCCTTAACCCTGGAAGGAAGGGCGCGGCCGGTGGCAGACCCGGTGCAAGGCTGCAGGAGGACAGAGGGGGGCGCTGCCAGGCCAGCGTGGTGGCCCGGCGATCCGTGGGAGAACGCGCCGCCTGGGGTCTGGCTAGCTTTTGCGTGGTGGTGTGGGGTTCCAAGTGGAAAGAACCCACGCCCTACACAGGTTTCCGTCGGTACTTGGGAGCGTCGTCTGTTCCTTGTTCTCCGAACAGCCAGTTGTCAAAAGGATGATGCAGGAAACATAACCGGCACTGGTTCCACTGGATACAGAGCAACTAGGTGCGTAAAGAGTCCACTCCACCAGAAGTGTAATGCAGTGAAGACAGAGGGCACTCGGAATTTGGAACTTGGACGCCTTATAGTTCTAGGTCTAAATCTAACCAGTTGTGATTCCAGGTGCATTTTGATGTTTTAATAAGGATTAAAGTCTGGATAATTTTTAAAGTCTTTCGAGATCTTCAATCCTCAATTGTTCGCCCTCTGTAGGTGTGTGCCAGTTACAAACAGGAAAACCATCAGCAACATTCAACACAATTACCTGAACAAGTATCACTCACATCTGTACAATATATGGTCCTGAAAAGGTGATTAGATCAAGTGTTTTATATATCTAATACTTGCACTGGTAAACAAGGGGAACTGGCTAAAGAATCCTATTTTAATCTTTTCATAAAAGAATCTTCTGCATATATGTTTCTGTTGCCACCGATCTTAGGGAAATTTGGTTTATTTTTCATAAACGTGCACGTTCTGGGCTCTGCTGCCTACCGGGCACCAGGTAAAAAGGAGACTGTAAACTATCACACCTGTGTAAACCATAAAAGATAGCTTGCCTGCCCTGGGATCCATTCAGTACAACCCCGGCCCTCTATGTAGTGGTATACTGGGAGCCCTGTGCTGTAATTTAATTTTTTTTTTTTAACAAAAGCAATTACAGAAAAGTGCAAATTTAACGGGTGACATTTAACATTTTGCCGTGGCAGGCAGCCTCCACTTAAATGGGGCCTTTCTGCAGAACAACAGGAGCCAAAAGGCCTTGTGTCATGGAGTAATGTAAGACACAATCTGGGCTGCAAACGCACAATGAATCGGGAAGGATTTATGTAATTAATTGACCAGTCTTAACCTGTTATCGTGATGTAAGGAATTTGGAACTCATTAATTTGGGCTCTGACAGATTTCATATTAGAGCTGGCAAATATGGATTGAGCCTCTTATTCTTGTAGCAGCTGGAATTTCCATGACAGTGAGGATTAGTGAAGAAGACCTATTGCTGGAGTCAAACTGCCTCTTTGTAATCAGTATCCCTGCTCTGCATTAAAAGGAAAATGAAAAAAAGAAAAAGAAAAAAGGAAAAAGCATATTACCTGGCTGAAGGAATGAAAGGGGCTGATTTTCACTCTGCTGGTATGGGTGTTGAGCTCAAGCATCTGCAGTTGAATAAAAACATTAATTTCAGTCATAAAGTTAGGTGGTTTCTCAAGCACCTTGAGAGAATGAGAAGATAGAAGGGTCTCAGGGTCAGGTTTACTATTGTCAAAGGTAAAAGGGATTAAAAGATGGAGCCTTTGAATTTCCTCTACGTGCACACAAATGTATGAAGAAGGACATAGACGTCTTAGAGGAAAATGGCAAGTTTTGAATAGCATATCCACAAATAAGAGATTCAGAACCTTGAAAGAGAAACTGGTTTTCTCAGGAGCCATTGACTGTCTCCTAATCAGAGCCTCTTTGTGGATCTCAGGAAACCCAGAATTCACATAATGAGCCATTCGTCGATAGTCTAATTTGTGTCCTTTTCACAGTATATGATGTTAATGAGTCACCCATTTGGAAATGTCTAGTTTTTTCTTTGAGATTTTAAGAAAACTCAGTAAAAATCTAACTTTCATTTTCACCCTCCTTGACAATCAAAAAAATGCTCGATTGGAAAAAAAAGGTTCCAAGATTAAACTGAATGCTTTTTCTTTTTCTTCTTTTCACAACTGGTTTCCCCTATTGCTGTGCAATGTGATAAGGTTAATGTAACAACTGCCATAAGGATCATTAATACAGGAAGATAAGCAAAGTTGCGCGTTTAAAACATTTTCAGAGTATCATTTGCCTCCTTCTGCTGATAAAGGGGACTTTGGTAACAAATGCAGAATACAGGCACTGAATATTTAACTTTTTAGACAGAAAGCCCAATTGACCTTTTCTAGTATGTTATTATTCATAAATACTCTTCGAAGTTGAGTACTGACTGCTCTTGAAATATGTTTTTAAATTTGTACGTTACTTTAAAGAATTTCCAAACAACTTTAATTTTAATATAAGAAATAGTGTTATAATGTGAATCTTTGCAAAAACAAAAGGATTTCCAATCTCCTCTCCCACTTTTTTTTTTCTGTCTTGATTCCAACCAGATTCCAAAGTTGGTTTTTTTTTTTTTTTTTTTTTAGTTAGTGATAATGGAATTTAATCTAGTAATGAAGTACTTGGTACAAAGATTTGTTTTGTGATTATCTTGTTAAGAAGTGATTTCTTCAGCTTTGGTTCCATTTAAGTGCATGCATAAACACTGGAAATTTGCATCAATATATTAATGTTATCCTTCACATTGAGAGCAAAAAAAAGAGCTAGTAGTTGTTATTAGTATTATTATTTCTGTGGGAAGTCTGTGAAGATAAACAATTGATATCAGTAAGACTTGGATAACTAGTATAAACCATGACAAGGGCGATTAATAGTGTGTATAAACACACTTCAAATTTGTATACACCATCTCAGCTCTCACCTAGGGATTTCTTTGTATTTTTTTAAAAAGAGTAATTTGTAAGTTGACAATTACAAGGTTATCAGCTCTTGTGCTGTGTGTACTGTTTATATATTGGAGGTATGGAATGGACACTTTGAAGTGTGATTTACCCAAGTGAGTGTTGACAGGAGGGAAGTCTGTTGAATTGGGTTCTGACTCTGCCATTAACACATACCCAAAGGCAGCTCCCACCCTCTGTAGACTGCAGTATGCTCATCAATACAATAAAAAGACTAAATACAGAATGTCTTTAAAGGTGTTAATAAATGTTATTTTAAGAAAAGAAAGAAAGAAAGGGAAAAAAGGAGGTAGGGTGGAAATTTTCATGGTCTATTACTTTCGCAGGACTTCTCAGTGCCTTTCATATGTTGAGATACTGTATGTGTGTGTGTGTAGGGGGATACCGTTTTACAAAACTGTATCCAAAAAAACAATAAAAATTTCATGATCTTTTGAGTCTATAACACGTTGGATCTTTTTCCCAGAATGATTAAGGGACACTTGTGTTCATCCTTGGGTTTCCCAAGTGGCTTAGTGGTAAGAATCTGCCTGCCAATGCAAAGAGATGCAGGAGATAAGGGTTCCATCCTTCGGTTGGGAAGATCCGCTGGAGGAGGAAATGGCAACTCATTTCAATATTCTTGCCTGAAGAATCCCATGGACAGAGGAGCCTGGGCAGCTATAGTTCATAGGGTCGCAAAGAGTCAGACATGACTGAGCAACTGAGCATGCACATGTTCATCCTAAACGTTCTTTTTTTTTTTTTCCCATTTATTTTTATCAGTTGGAGGCTAATTACTTTATATCATTGCAGTGGTTTTTGTCATACATTGAAATGAATCAGCCATGGATTTACATGTATTCCCCATCCCGGTCCCCCCTCTCACCTCCCTCTCCACCCGATCCCTCTGGGTCTTCCCAGTGCACCAGGCCCGAGCACTTGTCTCATGCACCCAACCTGGGCTGGTGATCTGTT